TTGTATTCTATTAAGTAAGGATTTAATCTCTGACAGAGAAAAGCATCCTGTTAGTTTGATTTGTTTTGATTGGCAGTGAATTCCAATCTTGTAAAAATTTCGATTAATGGATTCTTTTATCTATACTTCACTTGTGGAGAAAGAGAGTATTGAGGATTTCTTCTAGAGATATGCTGACTTGCCCAGAAGTAAGGGGAGTAATTTACAGACAGGAACAACTGAGGATTTCACTCTTTACATTGCAGTGCATTCGCTTCAACTCAAAAATATCCTTTAAAATATGACATCAGGTTATGTTACATTGACAGTGACGAATTCCTAAGGCAGTAGAATATATAATGTTTTAAGTCAGCTTCTTAAACCAGGGCACAATGAGCATAACCATAAATGCTGGGTTTTGCATAGTTATTTTTGTTGGCAGATTTCTCACTTCCCGTAAACTAGCTCATGCAATATAGGGTCAGATCCCAGCCCTACGTCTTCCTGTAGGCACTTCCATGGGCTCCTTCCTGACATGGCTTGAAAAAGTCTTACTGGAGCTGTTGCCTATTTAAATGATTGAAAGCTGTGGACATTGATTTTAATCAAGACTTCAGTATTACCCAAAACATTCTAAAAAGTAATTTCCTAGTTGTATTTTTAAATATGTTGAATGTTCCTAGAGATTAAAATTATATCAGGGTAGAAATCCAGGATAAAACTACCGTAAGTAAATGATTCTCAAAATGCAGGGTAAGTGGAAATTGGGCATCTCTTGATGTAATGGCTGGATGCATTTCTCTCTCAAAATAAATACTAGCTGTATTAACTACTGGATGTTTAATGAGTTGATAGCAGAAGAACAAACTACCTTTTATTACCTTAATTTTTCCCTTAGTACTCAATGGTATGTTTCGCTTTCGCTGGCTCAGGTACAGTAATTGCTAAAAACTGCCTTTGATAATAACGTATAAAGCGTGGGAGTTCACACATTCCTTTTTTTTTTAAGTCTCATTACTCTGTTTGCTTTCCAGTGGCTGTTGAGGAACAAAAAATTGTTTTATCAATTTTTGAGAACTTACCGTTTTACAAATCAAAGTAAAATAAGCTGTATATTTGACATATGTCGTGAGACATGTCCTTTGGCAATATGACTAAATGTAACTTCTTTGGCACAACTGTCTAAATAGATTAGAATAGTTGAGAGTAGGGTAGTTTGACGGACAGTTATCCTTATGGTTCCTTTGATGAGGCCTTCTGTGCATCAAATGCTGAATGTCTTTATAACGTGTGCTATCGGAGCTGTGCAAGAGAGTGGTGACAGAAAGCCAATGTACCTAGATGCAGTCACCATAAAGTTGTTTTGAGAAGAGGGAAACATTTTAAACCATGTTTTGCTTCTTTTATCCATGTATATAATTGAAGAGATCAGAGAGGTGGCTGGCATTCCCTTCAGTAAATATCTGTCTACCTTAGGTTTAGGATGTTACCCTATTGTGTAGGATAACAACAGAGAGATGTGAGACAAAGTCATTTCAGTCTGCAGAGGAATCACACGAGTTATTTCTCTTTAGTGTTTTGTTTCACACATCATGTCCTTGTTTGATTGTCATGCTGAGTAAACCAGTGGTGGTTGAGTTTTGCCTGACTTGTGTTAAAATCACCAAGTTTTGCCTAGCTTCAATCCAAGACTTTAAAGCAGATCAGGCTCAGTCAAAACTTGATTCTCTCCGCTTGAGAAGTTCACAAATTTTTGTCAGAACTAATCTGTCATTTTTGCGTAATGTTACAAGAATCCTGAATGCTCATAATATTTGTGTATCACTTTTACTTCTGGTTAAGTTTATGTAAAAGAACTTGTAATATTCTCTAAAATTTCCACAGTATTCTCAATGGATTGTTTTGAATACACAACTTTTTCAGTTTTCATGTAGTAATGTAATTAGGATGCCATGTGGATGTTTTAGTGTACTTGCATTTTCATGTGTGCTTTTGATATGAGATGATTTTTGTTGTTAAACATTTCTTCGATAAACAGTTCATGCATAATGAAATGCTACTGCTCCTTTTGGTTCAGTATTGGTCTTTGTAGTATAATGGAAAAAATGAGAGTTAAGATAATTGATGGAAATTTTGTTTTCTTGGTTATAGATTCCTCCTTAGAAGATCTAGTTTGTTCAGGAGCTATATACAAATGCTGTGGAATTTAATGTTGCTGTTGATTAGCTCCCCTGCCTTCTTGCTACTTACCAAACCACTGTACAAACATGAAAAATGGTTTATGCTCTTTTGTCTGAAAGCTTTTCTATAGGTACCATAGTTTGTTGAGGCCCACAACACAGTGCCACAAAGTAAAAAAAGAAATTTCCATTCCTTTCTTTGTGAGTTTTTTTTTAATATTGATTAGCCATATAGCTTAAATTCAAAACGCAGAAAAGATATTGTTTGTTGTTATCATATGCACGTATGATGTAAATGATAAGAGATTTAAAATTATACAAAATATTTTCTTTTTATATAATATGTTTTATCTGTTTGGTGCCAGATAGCCTGTTACAAAATATTGTTGTTTCCACTTCTAGCTTTTACTGAAGTTTTTAAGATTAAAAAAAAAAAGCTTAAAAAATTAGGAAAAGATACAGAAAAGAAAAACTGGAATGAAATAAGTGGATGTAAAAAACTACACACATATCAAATAGTGTCAGAAAAAGGGACAGTTAAGAATTCATGGGCTTGTGTATAAAATTAGATTCTGGGTCAGTGCAAGTCAAGAGAATTTAGTCTCAACAAAATCATAGATGCAACCGAAATGACAAGACTTGGAGTACATGGTTTGTAACCCATGTCATCACATTTTGTTGCCTCGGTGTAAAGGCCAGAAAGGCCTGCCTTGAGTAACAATGAAGAGAGAACAAAAGCTAGCCTTTTAGGTGTAGAACAGCCCCAAGAAAGTACTGCCCGCAAAATAATGAAGAAAGTTAATTTCTATGAGAGAAGGTCATTCTGATGGTCTCCACCTTTGCTTTACCAGCAGAGTTTTTCTTCATGCAATAAAGTAATGTCTGTAAACTAAAATGAATGGAGTAATATGCAGAAAGTGATATCCATTTACAAAAGACTTTGAATGACTTCCAGATGCCACTGCCAATACAACTCACAATCAAAATGACCCTGTAGTTAACGGTAGTAAATTTTCACAGAAAGGTGCCCTGAAGCAAATGGGTATTTCAGCCAATAAGTCTGATGTTTTGATCTTTCTGTATCAAGTGCTCTGCTTTTGGCACATGCATTCATCTCTAAGGAACTACACTCCTTTACTGAAAATATTAAAAGAATTTAAGAAGTAGGAAAAGCAGTGTGGTGTGGTATGGATGATGAGCCAAGCTGGCAATAGCTTGGAAAGCATGGGGAGGATGAGAGGGAGACCTAGTGTACGGGGTCTGGATTGTGAGCTTGTGGAGTTAACTTCAACTGTACTGGATCCAGGTGCAACACTACATGCACTTTTGCGCTAAGAAGGATTTCTTTTTTCTATATGGGCTTCAGCAGAAAGACAGATGAATGCCAAATTCTGAATTAATATGAGTTATTGCTACAGGGAAGCGGTGTGCAGCAGCACTTGTATGTGAGATGGATGAGGTAGGGTGTACATCTTCTCTAACACACATATTGTTGCTTTGTACAGCTGCACTTGTCCCATCCAAGAAAAGGCTTTCAGGAGCACAGAACCACTGCCTCTATTGAGGGAAGAGTTGTAAAAAGTAAGGGGAAGGTCACTTGGGCTAAACTTACCTCCATGCTGACACAATTTTTGAGAGCTGGTTTGGGCTTATCCACACTTAATAAGAGAGCACTGGGAAGGTCCGGTGGGCTCCCAGCATTGCTGTTTTGTTCTGTGTCATTTCATTAGGGATCATTGCACCTGCTACTAATTACAATGTAGGTTATTAATAATGAAAGAGTTTTCAAAATCTAATTTATTTCTCATGTTTCTGTCTGTTCAAACAATGGCTATAGATTAATCAGGTTGCTGAATCAATTTGTGAGCTATTTATTCTCTTCACTTATTAACTGTTTTAAAAATCGTTTCTGTTTAAATGTTCCTTCATTGCATATTGATCCGTGTGTGGTTAAAAATAAGAAAATGGAGTTGTTCATAGGCAGATTCCAGTTGACTTTACCTTCGGGGTCTCGCTTCTTTTTATTTACAAATGTGGTAAGTGTTGTGCAGATGTAGAAGACGACATCGTTTGTGCCCTCAAGAAACAGCAGGAACAAAACCATGCAAGCACTTGAGTTTGAGACATGAAGTACAAGAAAAATAAAGTTGGTGATTGGTACATAGCTTGTTACTTCCACATGTGTGTGTTTGTTGGAGTCAAAATAAAAATGTGTAGTTTTGTGCAGTACTTGTGAACAAGGATTTTTTAGGAGTGATTTGGGTTACTTGAACAGTTCTCCAGCGTGCTGCAGTGTCTGCACTCGAGACCTGGCCGGGCAGTGTTCTTTGTTTAAAACAATTTTAAAATCCCACTCAGACAGGATTTGTTTATACCTACTGCTGTTACTAGTAACAGCTAAGAATAACTGAATGTCAGTAAAGGAAGATGCTTTTCTCTATATATATGTACTTCCACTCCGGTTTTGTTTACTTTCTGCATTTGACAGCAGTTTGTGTCTTCTCAGTTGCAATGTTTTCTCTGTATCGTCAGTCAGCTTGTTTCCCTGTTGTTTATGTGGGTATTTCACACCACATCAAGGAAGAAATGTTTAAAAATAGGGAAATGCAATTTTTATTCCATAAAATAACTCCACCCACAAAAGGGGGAGAAATGAAGTCCGGGGCAAGAGTGGTAACTGTTGCAGCATTTAATTTATTAAAAATGCATTTAATTCATTAGAAAGAAACGAAACGAACTGCAAGTTGACAGCGCCAGTTCTGTAAGCCTGTGAAAACAACTCTACCTGATAATGCTACATGGTAACCGCTAATGACTAAATCATGTTTCAATCTCTTTTAGGATCAGAGTCACACACAAGTTTCCCAGTACCGCCAGGATCACTCCCTGATTATGAGATCTATTGTCCATATGACTGATGCTGCTCATTCGGGAATTATGCCTCCTTCTCAGCTAACCACCATTAACCAGTCTCAGCTAAGTGCGCAGCTGGGGCTAAATTTAGGAGGCACTAATTTGCCACACACTTCTCCCTCCCCTCCTGCCAGCAAATCAGCCACTCCTTCCCCATCCAGCTCTATAAATGAAGAAGATGCAGATGAATCAAATAGAGTAAGTTATTCCATGCACTGTAGTGAGTAAGCTTTACATGTCTATATGCTATGTTTTCATGAATGTGGCAGTATCATCTCAGCTGCGATGTGGTCATATAAAATACAAATGTTACAGTATAGTGGAATATGATTCATTTGTGGGTTAGCTGCTTTACGTAAGAAGTTTCCTTAATACCTCCATAATAATAAATGTCATTTTATATATATATATATATGTATATTTGGTCTAATACATCCATAGTTTGTTTCAGATTTTATAGATCTGGTGAATCTCTTTACTCATCAACTTCGGACAGTTTTGTCATTTTGATATTCTCTGGAGTCATATAAAACATAGATGCATTTAGACAGAATAAAGTAAGCTTTCTTCTAACTGAAAGTTTAGTTAATTTACATTTTGTTTTAAATAAATCTGTTATAAAAGGAAAATTTTATCGACAAAATAAAGCACAAATGTTATTATAGCAGTATATTTAAGGGGCCTAATTTAGACTGTTCCTTGAAAGGTTCTGTCATTAAGTTAATGGAAAATGTGCATATGGAAAGATCATTGGACAGGATCCTTAAAATATCAAAGTAACATGACTGTCACAGAGGTATATTTAGAGCCATTTTATCCCCTTGTTGCAATGATATATGTGTAGTCAACAAAACAGGGTACAGGACATGAGGGGCACACAGGGACTGGTGTTGCCTGTAGCTGCTCTGGGGGTTCCCATCCCAGGGGCAAGAGGGAGACGCTGGTGCGGGGCCGATGCCCGGCCGTAACACGGAGCCTCCAGCGCTACGGCACCGGCACTGGAGCCTGCACGAGGAGCAGTGGAGGTGGGTGGTGGAGGACACAGTGGGTGTTCCCTGCAGGTGGATAGCAACTGCAGAGTCGCTACTGCTTTTTGCCTGAAGGGTGGGCTTCTTAACCTCTGACCCATGTCTAAGTTGACAGTCTTAAGTCTGGGAATCAGGAAATGCCTCCAAGCTCTTGTCTTTTGAGTCCCTACTGCTGAAATTACATCTTAATGGAAAAACATAGATTGCCTATTCAAAATATGCTATAGATTAAATCTTATTTTTTTTAACACAAATTAGCATTGGAGTGTACTTTTTCAGGTCAAGCTCCTAGGATTTGACTCTCTGAGCCATGCTTACAATGAGTGGTAACTATTCATGCATTTAGTTCCAGTAGATCCGATGAGATTAGGCTGAGACCAAGTACTACTCAGTAGGAGAAAGGCTTGCACAACAGGACTTTCCAAAATGTTGCCTACGTAGTAGCTCTATCCATATATTATTAAGTCAGACTGTCAATAATTTTTCAGAGTTCATTTGACTTATTTCATGCATATATTGACTCTTCTTATTATTTCTGCTTCTTAGGCTACTGGAGAAAAAAGAGCTGCCCCAGATTCTGGCAAGAAGCCCAAGACTCCAAAGAAGAAGAAAAAGAAAGACCCAAATGAGCCACAAAAGCCAGTGTCAGCATACGCCCTTTTCTTCAGAGATACACAAGCTGCAATTAAAGGGCAGAACCCGAATGCTACATTTGGAGAGGTTTCAAAAATAGTGGCATCTATGTGGGACAGTTTAGGAGAAGAACAAAAACAGGTAAAAAAAAAAAATGCAGCATTGACTCACAAAATGTAAAATAGTAATCCTTGTAAAAAAAAAAATCCTCCTACGTCTGCTCTGAGTGGACCACGCTACTTGATGATGTAGACCTCTTACTCTGTAGAGCCACACTGATTTTGGACTTGCTGAAGACCTAGCATTTAAAAAGTATTTTGTTTTAAGAGCCAGGAGGTAGTATTAAATGGCTGTATTTGTCTTTAAATTTTAAAGGGCAGTTTGTTAAAAGCTCAGCTGATATTGTCCTAGAGTCCCGTTAAGACCATCTTTTGATGATTCCTATTTCAAAGCTCTTGTTTCCTGTTAATCAGAAGTTAGAAGAGAGAAGGGGAAGGTACAGCACATTTGCCATTTTCCTTTGATCTGCCTTATGAATTTGTTACAAAGCGTGTTGATTTCCAACCTTTGAAGCTGATCCTCTGTGCCTCATTACGATGTTGTGTGTGAAACGTTATCTCCAACTCGGACTTGGTATAGAATGATGAGTTTTGTTCTTCCTTGAGGGTTATTCTTCTTTCTATACACATGTAACTCCTACAAATGGAGTGAAGGGGGGAAAAAACATCCTTTGCAGCTGTTTGCCTGTTGATGCTCCATGCAGCTCCCAGTAGCAGGTAACGGAAACTGCAATGGAAGAGTAGATTCCCATACAGGACACCTTCTGGCAAGATATGAATGATATTTGTTTGCGAAGTACATTTGGAAACTTTTAGTCTGATCTAACATGATGGTGAACATGATTTAAAGGTGAACTTTAAATTTACTGAAAATACAGATTAATTCATTTTTGCCTAACTGTTCTTGTTTAACTCAATGGGATTCTCTCATACTGGCTTTGTTGGAAGTGAATTGTCCTAGCTCTATGACCTATCTTTTCTAAAGGTTTAAAGATTATTATTTTTTTTAATATGTAGTTCGAATATTTGTTTTAAAAAAAATTGCTTAGGCATTTTTTGCTATATTATACTACTGCAGATGCTTTTTCGTGTCTGAAATACTCAGTGTTCGAATATCCCTATTACTTAGAGTCATTTAAAATATCATTTCCTGGGGAGGTAAAGTGTGCATAGGTAGTCTTGTCAAACAGTTGGCTGCTCTAGCAGGTTTTTTTTATTCACAATAAATGAACATAAATTGTGGCGCAAGTCCAGCAAGTGGACCTGAAAGTCTGTAACCACCTGCAAGAATATCTAGATGTTTCAGGGAAGAAAAAAGCACATCTAACAGTAGTGTTTTCAGTTTTTTTGGTCTGTGTTTTTTGTTTCTTTGCAAGCGATTTTCAGAGCATTCTGGCAAAAACATCTTAACTGAAGTTGGTCAAATTGTGGTCTGTTTTAATAGGTATACAAAAGAAAAACTGAAGCTGCCAAAAAAGAGTACCTAAAGGCACTTGCTGCCTATAGAGCAAGCCTCGTTTCTAAGGTAAGCCTGATGCTGCCTTCAGTATAATGCAAATTAACTTTTGGCAACAGTGTTTAAATACTGGAGGTGAGGGTGTGGTGTTACGCAAAATAAAATTAGAATTCTAGGATATCTGTAATACAACTTTACAAGATGTTGTGCTGCTGCTTGAACCCTGCTTAGTCTCTGCAAAAAAATTTCATCTCTCTAATGGCACAGTAACGATTACCAAACAATAATTTTGTAAATGTACATCTTCCTTTATCTATGGAGGCAGAATAATGCCCTTCACTACAACAGTAAAATTCTATCATGAAAAATATACTGACCTTTTGACATTAGCATTTGCAAGCTATTTGCAGAGTTTTGTTTTTCCTCAAGTGCTACTTCTCGAAAGACAGACTTGCTTTGCGTGGAGCTGGAGAGCAGTTATTTTATGACAGAGCTTAAGTATTTCTTGCAGGTGAGGGGAAAAAAATGGGGGTGGCTCTGAATTTGGAGAGTACTTACAAATGGACTAGCTGGCAATGAGCCACATGGAGTATTTTAGCGGATCCTGAGCTAAAGCAAAACTTGTGAAGAAAACAAAGCTCTGCTGTCTTATTTGAGAATTTACCTTTCTAACTGGCAGCACTACACTGGTGGTAGATCTGTTGCAACTGAATACCATAAATGGAAATACACTTATGGACATCTAAAATATGGGTACAATTAATCAAGGTGGTTATTTCTCTAATAATATTTCATAAAGATCAATTACAAAAATATCTTCGATCACAAGAAAGCAGCAGAAGGAAGGGGTGATATCTAACTCCTGAGTCTGTCTATTTGAATGTACAACTGCCGAGCGTTAGTAAATCACACAGAAAATTGCCGTGTATTTTAATGATTAAAAATGCAACAGCAGAAATTATACACATGCATTTTTGAAAGCTGGAAGATTTCTTCTCCTTGTGTTGAGAAGCTGCGTTTTTCTGTTGTCTCTAGGACTTAGAAAATATTCTCAAAGGCTTTAGTAGCACAATGCTAAGTTCAATGGCAACTGGAATTCTAATTACCTTTGAGGGAATTTATTTTGTCAGTCCTAAATTCCCTTTTCAGAAACATCAGAAATCACATTTTCTCCCCAAATCTATGGCACCTGGGCTGCCGAATAACTTGTGTAAAGACTGCGAGTGGAAATTACACTCGTAAGTCCAGGATTCATCTCATCTCCTCTAACTTAAGACATCGTTGCTGTAGCTTTTTCATCCGAGGTGGTTGCTGGGAGTAGGGATGGAATAGGCACTTCTGCAGCTCAGTTTGACATATTCTAAGGTAAATGCCTAAAACATGTCAGTTAATTGTGCTGGAAGAGACTTTTTTCTCAATTGTCTTTATATAGAGATTCTAGGTAACTATTCTACATGTCACGTACAATGCAGATGTGTAAAGCTATGACAGAATCCTACCTTTGGTCCTTAAATATATCTAATCTAAGCATACACAATATTTTAAAATATGCCTAATAAAACTATGCCTTCAAAGGCACCAGAACACCTCATTTGCTGCAATAGGTCTCTTTGGACTGAAGTTTTCCCACAGATGTGTCTCATCAGAAACCTCCGGGACACTGGAAGTGGGCAGGACTCCCTAAGCAGGGCACCTCGCTGATGCAGCTGTACCCCTTCTGGTGTATTCTGCTGCGTGGCTTGACAGAGGTTCTCTTAGACTTCTGTCTGTTGTAGATACCTGCGTCTTGATGCCTTAGATGCAAAGAACTACAACAAGTACATTTAAAATGTTGTTTGAGAAGTTTTGTTGTTTCTACACTACACTTATGCCATGATAACTGGTGTGTGGGGGTATGCTTCTGCTCAGATTTGACTCCCAAAGAACAGGTTGGTTTTTTTAAAAACATATAAATATAAAAAGTGTTGGGCCCTTTTTAGCTCTTTCAGCCACAAAATGTACGTGACATCTGTGACTTTCTGGTGTTGAACAAGGGCAGGAGTTAGTTTTTTGTCCCAAGTAAGAACTGGAGGTGCTGTATACAGAGACAGATGAAGAGGTGATGTAATGGATCGGTGGATCCGTGATCTTTGTCAGGCAGCTGATCGATCTTTTCTGATAGAAAACAAAAGATGAAGAAGTCTCCCTGCACAGCTGTGACTTTTATTTCCATGTAAACAGTAACAAAGTTTTTTTTCTATTAAAAATGCAATTAATTTCTTTTCCAAACACAGGCTGCTGCAGAATCTGCTGAGGCCCAGACAATTCGTTCTGTTCAGCAAACACTGGCATCTACAAATTTGTCTTCCTCCCTTATTCTGAATACTTCTCTTTCTCAACACCCGACAGTATCGGCATCTCCCCAAACTCTTCAACAGCCCCTTCCCAGGGCAATTGCTCCAAAACCTTTAACCATGAGACTGCCCATGAATCAGATTGTAGCTTCTGTCACCGTTGCACCAAACATGCCAACAAACATTGCAGCTCCATTGATGAGCTCTATGGGAACAAATATGGTGGCAACGCCATCTTCATCTCAAGTAAGTCCCTCAATGCAAAGCCAGCAGCACCAGATACAGCAGCTGCAGCAGCAACAGATGCAGCAGATGCAACAGCAGCAACTACACCAGCATCAAATGCATCAGCAAATACAGCAACAAATGCAACAGCAGCATTTTCAGCACCACATGCAACAACATTTGCAGCAGCAGCAGCAGCATCTTCAGCAGCAAATTAATCAACAGCAAATGCAACAGCAACTGCAGCACATACAGCTTCAGCAAATGCAGCAGCAGCAAATGCAGCATATGCAACACCAGTCACAGCCTTCTCCTCAGCAGCATTCTCCGGGAGCCTCTCAGATCACTTCTCCCATCCCTGCCATTGGGAGCCCTCAGCCAGCACCTCAGCAGCACCAGTCACAAATACAATCTCAGACACAGACTCAAGTATTATCGCAGGTCAGTATTTTCTGAAGATAAATGATCTTGCAACATGGCTTTGTGTTGATGGAGGGGGTAGGGGTAAACCATATTTGGCTGAAAACTGTAAATTGTTGATGGTAGTTATGCAGGGATGCATAACAGATCAAATGATCCTCTAAAGTGTCTATTAGATAGGCAATAAAGAACTACAATGTAGCTGTGTATCATCTTTTAGCTGACTATAAATCATTTTGTTTTTTAAAAAAAAAAAAAAGCTGTGCTCTTTTTCATGTGATGCCTTTTTAATTTATTTAAGCTTTACCTACAATATGTGAATCAAATGGCCTAATAAATACCTGGATCTTATGACTGCAAAATGGCCTTTCAGAGTTATATGATATAACCCTTCTTTCTCTAAAAGTGAATAATGCACTTCAAGGCAGTATGAACTCATGAAGCCCTTAAAGCACAGTTGTAACTACCTGTAAAATGATGATTGGATTTCATACAATCATACTTGTATGACATGAGTTAGTTGATGGCATTTTTTGTCATGAAAAAATAGAGTAAATCACAGATTTTTGCCAAAGCTCTTAATTTTTTTTTTTCTCTCCTAAATGTCTTCAGAAAAACAAATGCAAGAAACTGAACTTAAATGTTTCGCCCAACCTTTCACTTCATTTCTCCAAATAAACCTACCATGGTTTGTAAGAAAATATATATATTGACATTTACCCTTTTACGTTAATTCCAGTTACGGAACAAATGTGAATATTATATTCTGTGTCGAAGTGATGAGTTTCAGATTTAATACACTGTATTTTTAAAAGGGAAATGCACTTAAATAAAACTGTTATTACAGAACGCTAAGATGAAAAATGCAAGAGTTTTTAATACGCTGTAAAACCAGTAGAATATTTAAATGAAACTCCACAACCGAATAATCAATGTAAATATTTTCTTTAAAAGTTGTAAGTTTTCATATCATGTGTTGTAAAGTTTTCATAAATGAGGCTTTAATGTAAACACTGGTAACATGAATTATTAATTGCTACATTGCTTATTGTGTTTTTATGCTGTTTTATACTTTTTTATGAGTTATGATAGCAGCAATTAAGTTGTTTGTATTTTGCTTATCTAAAATAAATGCTTTTATCTTGCTATAGAATAAACACATTTCAGTAAAACTGAGGAGCCATAAGTCTTTGATAGAAAAATCGGAAATGCAAACACTGTCTTGGAAAATTTATTTAACTTTTTTGGATTTTTATCAAACATACTGGGTAAACAGGTACCAATCGGAACTGAGAGTGCCATCAGCTCTTGTATCCATCAAGATGCTCTGCTGAAGAGTGGCGTAGCGCTCCTCTGAGGTTTCTGCGACTTCAGAGAGAGAAAGCAGGTGGTGGAGTGACAAAGCATTCATGCTACCCTGTGTTATGTTTATCTGCAGGAACAGGATAGCGAACCTGTCTCTCAGCAGTAGTGTTCAGAGAGGCAAATAAGTACAAATTGTGGTTTTCTTTGTGTCTTTGAGTTCCAGATGTAAACGCAGGTACTGCCATGGGCTTCCTGTCTGTAAGCCCCCGACTCTGACTCGGGCTGATCCCAAGTTATCTGACTTTTATTTTGTCATAAAAGTAGGACATGAAAGAGAGGATGGAGAGAGCAGGTATTCCATTTGAAGGATTTGGAAACATTCACATCCAATGTGTTGTCAGGTTATTAGTGCTATTCATATATTTTTACTCTGGACAGACAGGAGAAATGCTTTATTTTCTTCTTTCCCTTCTTTGCCTGCAATATCTGTGCTGGGAGTGCAGTCTGACCACTATCCCCGGTTGTCTTGCATGATTAATTACAGCATCTGTCCTGTCAGAAGCTATAATGAAGAGGTCTTGATAAAAATTGCAAATTACCACTGGCAACAATCTTAAACTGCTTGTGATAAAATTAAAATTAAAAACAGCAAGTGTCAAACCTGAGCAGAATCCTAATCCTGGTTGAGGCGGTGTCCATGGCTACCACGCTCAGACCACAACCAAAAAATAATGGAATATAGATCCCCAAAAAGTTGCAACCAGACTTGAGGGAAGAGGTACTATACCGTGTGAGTTTATTAATAATGAATTCAGCTTTCAATATTTCATCATCCTCAGGTACTCTGTTTATTATGTACAAATATTGAACAGCAAGAGATTCTAATTATAAATTTATAGATTTGTTGGAGCAGAAAAAAAAATCATGTATAAATTGAAGCTTTTCATAATAGGTGTTAGTTGACAGCTACCCATGCTCCTAATAGCCTTACTATGATATCTAATCATGTCTGGGACGGAGGATGTTTATTCCAAGCGCGAGGAAGCCTGCCTGCATTAGAAATGGCACGGCAGAGGCTGGTTGGGAGAGAGTTTTGTGTGTGTCAGTTTTAACCAATGTTACATAACAAAGGGAACCATTTTATGGTCGTTTTGAAACCTTTAGACAAATGTCTTCAGAAATAATTGCTAAACTGCATGTGACAGTAATTGTGTATTAGTTCTATAATTGTCATTTTGAAGACCTATGAAGTATCGTTGGAAAAATGTCACTAGTGATAAGAGTTAATTACAACTGAAGTCTGTTTTCAACTATTTGCAGCGAGAAGCAGGTGTTATTACACTCATTAAATGGTTTCATAAATCCTGGGTTTTATCACATTTGATTAAGAGCTGCTGAATTACTGATGGTCAATTCCAGGAAAAATAGTTTTAATTACTGCAGCTAAAAAAAATTAACCAACAAGCAGGACTGCACATTTTAAATATCAAAATTTGAATCTTGAAAAACAGAAGCATCCCCCCGCTTGCTACAAAATTATATTTTACATTACCCACAATAGCATATTGCAGAACATCTTGTGTTTCAAACTGTGCAAGTTGGTGTTCATATTTCCTAAGTCGAAGTGAATAACTTTGCTATCATAGGTCATAAATAAAACTGTTAATTTAAATTGCTTAATATGCAATTTATACTGGAAAAATGCAGTATCCGTATGATTTCAGTGTCGTGCACAATTTAAAGAATGTTTTCCCTCGTATCATTTACAAGCACTTAACTGCTCCCTTCTTTTCCCAAGGTTTCAGATGCTTTATCACCCCGGTTAACCACATTCTACTTTCACATTAACCCAGGTTGACACATGATGAAAGAACATAAGGAGGTTTAATTTTTAGCTGACACAGGGTCATTAGTTTCTAACTTGGAGAACAAAGCCTTTAAATACCTCTATGCAACATAATCTCAATTTTATATTATCACCTGACCATTGTGGTTTGCAGGACAGATGGATTAAATATCTCAAGTTTAACCAGAAGTCTTGCGCTGACTCTTTTTCAATGGGGATCGGCTATTTGAATGGCCCCTTTTCCATTTCTCACTTCATGGAGTATTCTGCAGCACTGGACTTCATTCTAACCTTTCCCTCCCCCCTTTGTTTGGCTTTTGTTTTGCAACAGCTGTTATTATCGTTTTTGGTCAGCTGTGATTGCTGGAGGCAAAATAGGACCAGATGGTGTTTTGCTATGCATGAATGGCGAGTTAGAGGAGTTTGGATTGAATAGGCCAAGTTTGAATGGTGTCTATGCACCACCTGCCCTCTTCAGCAGCAGCACACACATCACGGGAGCATGATCTGTCTCAGACCTACTAGAGCTGGATGGGAATGGAGAGCGCCTCGTTGGATTTTCTCCATATTTATTGATCTTCCATGCACTAACAGCATAATGCAGTACACAGTCAATTTGAGTTAATTGGATATGACACAGCATGTACATGTAATCTATCACTGGAGTCTCCTGGTACGCTTTAGGTTTTGCTGCCACAAGAACATGCAGTATTAGCCGGCATTAATAGGCTAAGTGGATGGAAGTAAAACAGGATCCTTGTTGGGCTTGATTTAACCAAATGTACTGTAGTTTTAAAATGATACCCTTGAAACTGCCAGAGAGGCAGTTAAATACGAACAGTTCGGGTGTGATAGACTGGACTGAGTATTTCAGCACAGAACCAACTATATCTCGTTCCCATCCTTTCTGAGAGGTTTGCCAGGGAAATTCAAACGAACAGTTGACTGAAAGCAGGGAGCGGTCGGTAGCAATGAGCTGCTGCCGTTCGGAAAGGGGCGTGGGTTCATGTGGAGGAATCTACTTCGTAGCAGAAGGGATGTATTAAGCAAATTCTGATCACCAGCCCCTAAAACACAGAAATTAAAATTAGGCATCCAAACTGGATTTAGAGTAGCAAAGGGCTGCGTCGATATCCTAAAACTGGTCATAGAGGTAGAGTTTAAATGTTACAGAAATACATGATCTGATGCATCCTCTGTTAAGGTTGACTGAAAGACGTCGGGTATGCTAGAGTTGTGTCTGGACTCTACAGAATAAAATACATGTGTTACAAATAACAAAAATATAGAACAATAACATAACACATAAATTACTTGAATTCGTACGGCAATTGGATGTTTAAAAGCCTACTTCGGTATGTAACTGGGGGTTGCGATCATGCTCTGCCCAAGTTGGCAGGAGCTGCTTGCTCGGTGTCTTTGTCTGTGGTGTCAGGTAGCCGAGTGAGCTACTTTATTATGAAAATTGCATTCAACTGAAAAAATGCTAAATATTTTCCAGTGCCTGTGGGAAAAGCTAGGTTTGTATTAAAGGATTTGGTTTTTAAAGTCACCAAAGTTACATTAAAGTTAATGCTTCTCGGGTGCATCTGAGGGAAAGAATTTTCGATTACAATACTAAAATCTTTCAGAAGAGAACGTATTGCTTGGAGTGAACTGTTCTGACACTTCAGTAGGCTACGCTGGAGATTTATAATGTACTCTGTTTACCTCAGTTAAAAAGTAGAAGTGGCATTTTAAATACTGGGTTTTGTCCAAGCTCTTGGAGCATTAACATCTTCAGCCCCTACAGAAACCAAAGTAGTGCAGAGTTTTCATACGAGGTTTGAAATGAAATTTATTTTAGTCTTCTAGGTAAAAAAATTGAACAGATAATTATACTTGACATGGTGTAGTTATATGGGCACTTCCTACAGGTATCATTTATTTTTTTTCTCCTCTGGGAACGTCTTTATTAATACAGCCACCTTTGGTCTGTTATTTTCTCCAAACTGGAATTGTTAATGTTACTTTAGTGCTGCTGCTCTAATTGGAACAGAAAGGCTTTGATCCAGCAAATCACTTAAAATGAGTGGATAATTCATGTATATAAGTAGTAATTTCATTAAAGTGACTACTCATATGCTCCGTTATACAGTTGCTCAAGTGCTTTCATAGATCAGGGGTCTAATTGCAAAATGTTGTATTTGTTTTCCAAACAATTCCAAGTAGCGATAATAAGAATAATCAGAACCTAAAAGTGACATAACCTGACTTACATTTTCTGCACTTTCTTTTATTAAATTCTATTCTAAACAAGTCACAGGTCTGATTTTCAAGTACAGGTATCTAACCTCTGTGCTGGTTCAGTGACTGTGTATCACCATAAATGTGTAAAGAATTAACCACCTGACTGGTGATTTGTACACTCAGTCATTTAGATGGGTTTCTACTGTGCACAGGTCTGAAAACCTGTACCTGGATCAGCAGTGACAGCTCTTGACTAAGCAGATGCCTTGGCCAAATATTTGTATTTACAAAACAGAGAAGTAAATGCAGGCAAACAAAGCACCATTATACCTACTGGCAATGTTTGTGAAACCTAGAGGGTATGGTTACTGCAGACCGGTTTATTTTTAACGCTATATCCCGTAGTGTACTGATAACAAATATATATGTTGCATTAGCATAAAGTACGTAAATAATAAATCCAATGTGTTATACTTTTCTCACTGGTGCTTATAGGTGCTTAATTTTGGAATTGGTTTTGGTGTTCCACGAATCATAAGAATTGACCATACAGCATGGATATTTAAAAAATAAGAACTAGCTGTACCATTGCTTAGTTTCTTTCAAAGTGCTGAATATTCAGTGTCTGGAAATCAAGGCTCACTTTGAAAATTCTGCCGTATCAGCTGTCGATCAGGGGATTCTCACTGCTGCACTGGGGTGTGTGTGTACGTGTAAGGATAAACCGAGAGCAGTGAGCAGCCCGTGTACGTGTTCCAGCCTCACACAAAAGTGCCCTTCCC